ATCACTGAACCACCCTACAATTTGGACATCTGTGAATCTCAGGACTGGATTAGCATGAAGAGAAAAATTAAGGAGGACAGGATACAAGTCAGGAGTGAGGTGCATTGCCACAGTGAAAGGGGATTGTAGGTGTGAAATAGCTTGGGGTGTTGCAGGAAAGGATTACAGTACACCAAAAGAGCAGTCTTGGAAGCCCAGCACTGAAAAGGCAGTGGGCACTGTGGGTCAGCAGTGAGGGGCGTCTGCAAAACTGTGCAGAAGCTTGCTATTGGATTACTCCCTTCCGTTTTTGGAGGCACTACAACAGTTGTTATTTAAAAAAAATCAAAATGTAGAAACTAATTGTTGCTAGGACAGGGATAAAATCACATACACAATCTAACAAGTGAAGGAATAGGTCTGGGACAGACTTATGCTTCCCTGTCATTAAGCATTTGACACCATCACAATATCAAGCAATGCACCTTGTGAGAGAGCCTGAAAGCTTGTTTCACTCCTTTCTATACAGACAACCAGACAACATCCATGCACAAGGGACAGTCACAATTCTTCCCCAAGAACAGTTTCAGGCATGCAGATAGTCTCACTGGAGTCTAAATTAAAAGAAACAATGTATTACCAGAAACCTGGGTGTTTTTCCTTGATGAATTCCAGTGCTGTTCCAGCTCCTGAAATCTCTGTTTAGTGAGGGGATTTCAGCCTTCAACAGAGGACTTTAGCTTCGACTTTAAAAACAGCATTGAAAATACATAGCAGGTAAATCCACAGTGTTTTGGGTACATGGCTCAGTGACAGCATCCTTCTCCATTTCTCAGGCTGAGACAGTGGCTGTTCAGCCATGTCTTTCTTCCAAATCCAGGTCCAGATTCCACTGTGTTGTATGTACAAATGGCAGGGTCTCTTCAAGAGCTGTCTTGGGCTAAGTGATAACATTGTAAAACTACTTCTTTTCCTCCCCTGAAGTGGTGGGATTAAAAAGAGGCTATTTGCCCAAAACCCTTCTATCTTTGGGTTTGTGAGTGGTTGTGCTGCCATCTCAGGCTAGCTGCGGAAGGTTGAACTGATTCAGGCTGGTGACAGGAAAAGAGTACCAGGTGCTGACATTGCTGCAGGGGGGAATACCCACATTCACTTTTCAGATCCAAGACACAGATCCAGGATGTGGTGAGGGTTGGTTAACAAAGCACCTCATCCTATAGATAAATTAAATATCTTTTCACGTGACCATTGTTATTGTCCCCCTCCAAGTGAATATCCTGCTGGGGAAAGATGCCAAAGTGACAGTCCTGGAGGCTGGGATTTTTGTTCCCAGAGCAGGTACAGCCAAAGCCACACCAATGCAAAGCTTTGGCCAGGGTGCTTTAGCCCTGTGGCAGAGGAGCAGCCTCAGTCTGAAAGGGAAATGCACTGGCTGTGGCCCAGACTGACCTTGTCCTCTGATGGGAAGGTTCCTGCTATGGCAGTGGGTTTTTTTTGTGATGTCCCCTAGGAATTGTACCAAGACCCAACAAGCTCTTTTTACCCAAATCACCACCTAACTTAGTCCCAAAGAACCTCCATACTGGGTCAGACCAAAGGTCCATCTAGTTCAGTAACCTGTCTGCCAACAGTGGCCAATACCAGATGCCCCAGAGGGAGGTAATCATCAAGGTGCTTCTACACTGCAGGGCTTAACTCAAAATAAACCATGCAAATTGAGCTACGTCAATTACGTATCTTATTTCGAAATAGGGAGCATCTACACAGCACTTATTTAGAAATAGAGCACTCTTCCTCCTATTTCCCTTATTCCTCATACAATGAGGGTTACAGGAGCAAGAATAAGGAGTTCTCCAGCTTGACACTATTTCAAAATAACTATCTGCTGTGTAGATGCAGACTGTTATTTTGGAATTGTGCTAGTTATTTTGAAATAGTGTTGCAGTGTAGACGTACCCCAAGTGATCACTCTCCTGTCATCCATTTCCAGCCTCTGACAGATAAGGGAAACCATTTCTACCCATTCCGGCTAATAGCCATTGATGGACCTAACCTCCATGAATTTATCTTGCTGTGCGCTGTGTGAAGAAAAACTTCCCTTTGTTTGTTTTAAACCTGCTACCTATTAATTTCATTTGGTGACCTCTAGTTCTTATATTACGGGAAAAAGTAAATAACTTTGCCTTATTCACTTTTTCCACACCGGTCATGATTTTATAGACCTCTATCATACCCCATCTGAGTCTTCTTTTTTCTAAGCTGAAAAGCCCCAGTCTTTTTAATTTCTCTTCATATGGCACCTGTTCCAAACCCTGAATCATTTTGTTGTCCTTTTTTGAGATGTTGCCTTATTTCAAAAATGATATTTTGAAATTGGAAAATGTTCAGAAAAGGGCAACAGAAATGATTAGGCATTTGAAATGAGTGCCATATGAAGAGAGATTAAAAAGAGTGTGGCTTTTCAGTTTAGAAAAGTGGAGACCAAGTGGGGATATGGTAGAGGTCTATAAAATCATGACAAGTATGGAGAAAGTGAATAAGGCAAAGTTATTTACTTGTTCCCATAACATAAGAACCTAGGGATAACCAAATGAAATTAATAGGTAGCAGGTTTAAAACAAACAAAAGGAAGTTTTTCTTCACATAGTGCACAGTCAATCTGTGGAACTCCTTGCCAGATGATGTTGTGAAGGCCAGGGCTTCAACAGGGTTCAAGAAAGAACTAGATAAATTTATGGAGGTTAGAGTCATCAATGTCTATTAGCCAGGTAGGAATGGTGTCCCTTCTCTCTGTTTGTCAGAGGCTGGGAATGGGTAAGAGGAGAAGGATTACTTGATGATTACCTATTTCTGTTCACTCCCTCTGGGGCACCTGGCATTGGCCACAGTTGGAAGACCGCATACTGGACTAGATAGACCTTTGGTCTGACCCAGTATGGCCATTCTTATATTCTTTAGCCAAGTTCCTCCTCAGGGAATTACATTCTGCCTCCCTAAATCCCCTTCATAGTTTCCATTAGGAACAGCCCTGAATGATTGTTGCTGTGGATGATTTAACTTTTCCAAGTCTCACCTCTAAGGTGAGTGCATCCAAGTGGTGGCTGGTGTGATTCCTGCCTGTAGCATGTATCAGTTTGATCTCGTAACATGCTTTTGTGCTATAGGAGATAATGGCAAGGACAGCAACCATTGTGCCCAATATTTACTCTCACAAGCACAAGCCATCAGCTCCTGTGTTACTGAGAGGGGGATGTTGCATGGGACAATGGGGTATTATTTAGCAGGCAAGGTTTTATCAAAAAGCAATATTGGCTCTTTAATTTCCAGCGGGGCAGCCACCTGAGCTAGGTATAAAGGAGTCCAGCCCAGGCTACATTGGTGTCCCTTACTCAGTCCATGTTGCCCAGAGGTGAAAGTGTCACCAAGTATGACAACACTAACTGACACTTAAACTTGGACAGTATTTAATGCCACTTACTGTATGGTACCAACCAGTTTAACTGATGCCAAGGGGCACTAAGTACTCCTTATGGCTGCATAACTAACCAGTAACTGCAGTGTCATTGTCATGTAATTTTCCCACTGACTTTCTTGGAACTACTAGATTTGCCCCCATATAACAGGGATGAGTTCAGTTCTTGCTATACTCCTGGTATTATTAGGCATGTTTCTAAACCTAGCACCAAGGTGCAAGCTATTGCTTCTCGGCTGCATAATGCTGATGCTACCATTTTGCTTAGAACAGAGTCTTATAAAGGTTTTATCTGACTTGTTTGCCAGAAGCAATGCAGAGTTCTCGAGCAAGTGTCATGACATCTGTTTTTTGCTCAGGCACAAGAAGCTGTAGTAACAGAATCTAATTGCAGGGAGGAAGAGAGTAGATTTGGTATTTCCTCTGGAACTTACATGTGTTTGTATTGATTTTGAAATGCAATGAAACTTCTTCCCCCTTTCAAACCAAAATGGGGTCCACATTACTCTGATTTCAAACTAAACAAGAACTGTTATGGTAATTTACGAAGTGACTATTTGTTTCCAAATATTTGCATTGGGGAGGTTGAGTTTATTTATTGGTATATGCGAAGTTATCCTTTTCAGTCTGA